ACAGCAAGTCCATGTCAGATAGAATCCTACCAAGACACTGTGCCATGTGCCATCATACAGATCAGATTAGCTAAAAAATTTGCACAGGATAACTGAAAACTAAAAAAAAACCCAGTTATTTCTGATCCCAGAACAGGTACCATGTTTATTCTACTTCAGAGAATACTTCCTGGCATTTTTTTCTGTTGCCAGTGAAAGGCATGTGCCATATCAACAGGTATTAGGTAGTAGCTATTAACTAAAGGTACACAGTGTTTTAGATAGTAAAAATCCATTATTTAAAAGCTTTGATATCAAGGCACAAGCTCAGGATGTTAAATTTCCTCTGACAGTCTATGATTGCATGAGCTAAAAAGGAAGACACACTTCCTGATGAGAGCAAAACACAGGGCCTTGAACTAAGACTTTCTGACAGGTAAGTTTAAAAAAACCCACAAGCATAAAAAAAAACTTTTCAATATGTTGATGCTAATCAAATTTCTTTTCTGATCTACACTGAAACTGTTCTTCTACACATTGTTACTTGCCTCACTGAAACTGAAGAGCCTCGGTCATGTAATTTAATTTTTGACTCATCATGCAAATTAAATCACACCATTCCCATATTTAAAATAAATCGTGAGTACCTACGTGATCCCTCACCAAAAATTAAAATTAAAAAAAAAAAAAATTAAAACGCCATCAACACTAGGTACATCTTAATTTCAGTACCGGTAGTATTTCACAGGAAAAAAAGAGACAAAACTTTTTTTCTTCTATTTAACATGCTGTGTTAGCTTCGTATGGGGCAGTCTGAAGGAAAACAGGCTCCGAGCAGCCCCCACGCACAACTCCTGCTACAGAGGCCCATCGGGGCTCCCAACGGGAACAATTGTAGGAAGAGGCCTCAGACCAGGACCCCGGGAGGCCGCGCCAGGCAGTGCGGGGTCCGCAGCCTGGGCCGGTCCGTGCGGCCACAAGCTGTAACAAAGAGCCCCCGGCCCGGCCCGGCCCTGCCGCTGTGCCGGAACCGGCGCTGCTCTGGGGCGGCCGGTCGCCGCGGCCGCTCCAGGGTTCCCCCCGCGCCGCTTCCGGTGATCGCTCCTGCCCGGCGCTGGAAGAGCTCCGGGACCGCGGCACGCCACCCGGGAGGCGCAGCCCCCGGCCGTGCCCATCCCCCGCACGGTTTCCCCCGCAACCCGCGGCACCCACCCCCGGCCCGGCCGCGCCCGGCCCGGCCGGTCCCTCCCGGCAACCAGCGGGAGCGGGCCGGGAGTGCGGCGGGCACCGTGCGGGCCGTGCTGCCGCAGGGCACGGCCGGGCCCCGCGTCGGACAATGCCCCGCGGCCGCGGCCCCCCCGGCCCGGCGGTACCTGCGCGTTGCGGCGGGCAGGGCCCGCCCTGGCGGCTCTGGGGCTCCTGCGCTCCGGCTCTCAGTGCGGCAGAGGCGGCCGCCCCGCTCGCCCGGCCCGTCCCCCCACCCCGCGATCCGCGCTCCGCGGCGTCGCTCCGGGCCTGCCCCCGCCCGCACTTCCGCCCGCCGCGCCCCACACCGCCCCCTGCCGGCGCGGAGGACCAGGGCGGCGCCTGCGCGGGGCGCCGCGCATCGCTGCCACCCACCGCTCCCTTTCGTTATTTCCTCGTTTTACTGTTCCCTGTTCTGTTGTTTTTCGTCTTTATATTAGAGTCGTAGAATCCTCGAGGTTGGAAGAAGCCTTTAAGATCATCCAGTGCAACCGTCCACCAGTGTAACCCCTAAACCACATCGCCCAGTGCCAGATCCAGACTCCTCGTACCAGGGACTGTGACGCCACCGCCTCCCTGGGAAACCTGTTCCAATGCCTGACCAAACTAAGAGGGGGGGAAACATTTTTGTACCATCTGATCCGAATCTCCTCTGTCTCGGCTTAAGGCCACTTCCTTTTGTCCTCTCCCTGCAGGCACGGCAGAAGGGACCAGCCCCACCTCACTGCAACCTCCTGTCAGATGGTTGTAGTTAACGACGAAGTCCCCCTGAGCCTCCTTCTCTCAAGACTAAACCAACCCAGCTCCCCGAGCTGTTCCTCATAAGACAAGTTTTCTAGAACTTTCACGAGCCTTGTTGCCCTCCTCTATTCCCGCTCCATTTTAAAGTGAGGGGCCCAAAACTGAACGTGAAACCCCAGGTGCAGCCTATTCTTTAAATTTATTATTTGGTATTTACTGATTTATAATTCGTATTTATTATTCTTTTTCATTATTATTGCCCCCCAACCCCCTCTCTGGCCTGCCCTCCTGCAGACCCTCCTCACCCTCTGCACTGCCACAAAGCTCCGTTCCCATGTCGTGACCTTCGGGGCTCCTGTGTGGGGCTGGGATTTGGCATCGTGCCTTGGACATGGTCTGAGCGTCATGATGCATCAGGTGCCGGTGCATCAGGTGCTGGTGAATTACAGTCTGGAGGTTTTCTGCAGTTCCCATTGCAGCATGGAAGGGCTCCGGGCTGTTTTTGTGTCCCTGTACATAATACTCATCTATTATTGTCACAGTGACAAATGCAGATTAGCCTGCATCGAGAAGAGCCCACACCTTTCCCAGCAGAGATCAAGTTGATATTGTCCATTAGAGTGGTATAACACACAATGTTTAAAGAAGAAAAATACATTTTCAATGGAATGTATGTCATGAATGTCTTACAAGCCACGAGGCAAAACCTCGTCCCAGCGGGTCTGCCTCAGTACTGCCATGCATCAGTGTGAGACCTGCTGGCCTGCTTTCCCAAAACATCTGTAAGCTCCTCGTGAGCTGATGGCTTCTGTCTTCAGCTTTTTTTTTGATTACGTGTCTCCACATCCCCTTCCTGCACTTCCTTGTCATGTTGCTGGGGAGGGTTTGGGTCAGGCTCCTCCACGCAGTAATGTTTTCCTGCAGGCAGCATGTTGCTGCTCTGAAATCCACGTGTTGTGGTTCTCTGCTGTACTGAGGGCAAGTGGTGTCAATGGGCAAAGCTGCCTCTTGACCTCTTGGGGGTCTTCTTGGACCAGCCATCTTAGTCAGCTGTGTGCTACAGCTCAGGCATGGAAAAATGCTTCTGATCACACCTGCAGCCATCCCTGCAATATAATATATATAATACAATATATTTATCTATACTTCCTTGTATCCCCCAAATACCTACTTGCTGTTATATGAAGATGTAAGAGATGCAGCAGCCCTGGACCTGAAGCAGGCAGAGGGCAGGCTGCCTGTGTGAGGTGACAGGACCTTGCCAAGCTCACCTAGACCCATAGTGTGCAGTCAGCAAAATGTTGGCAGTTCATATAACCCACTTGTGAGCTGGAAATAATTGTTTTCAAAGCCAACATGGAAAGAGTGTGTATGTCTGAGTTCAAATTGTTAACCCATAATTATGCTAAAACCACTCAAATTTAAACAGATAATATTCAGGGTACTGTTTAAAGGCAAGCACTGGTACAGGGATTCAACACCAGCTCCTGGAAAATAGACACTACACTTTACAAATGACCATTGGAAAAGAGATCATGCAAGAAATGGGTTCAGTGCAATTACCATCCCTGCACACTGCAGGGAAATCCCTCAGCAGTGAGAGCATGATTTTTCTAAGCTCTTAGAAGCAGGAATTAAATTCAGCACGAGAGAGCTCTTAGTACATTAATGATTCACTAATTCACAGCCATGACTGAGACATCCACTGTGAATTAATTAATCTTTGCAAATTAGGAAGTGAGTAAACATGGGGAAAAAACCATTTAAAAAAATCCAAGTTACTTCACTGGGAAAAAAACACAGTTAGAAAAGCGAGCATGCAGGTCCTTTCCTCAGGAGGGACAGAGAGCCTAATGGGATCCTGGGGCTTTCTGCTGCTGATGGGAGGCCCGAGGAGCCCCACAGCTCAGCTCCAGCTCCTCTCATCACCATCCCACATCAACAAATGGCAAAAGTAGGGAAAACCAATGTCAGCCTGTGAAATTAATCCTCCTTCAAGCAGCTCTGTTTTGCTCACCTCTTTTCTTCCTTTGGACTGTACCTCCCGCAGAGTGGCTGTGCCCACATGGAATGCTGTGGCAGCAGCTGACTCTCCAGGGCTGGCTGCCCTTGGCTCTCCATGAGGCCCAGTAATTCATCACCTGGTTTATCTTTCCTCTTTTCCAGAGTTGTAATTCAGTAGGACACACGTGCCCTTTCCCTTTGAAGGGTGTTTCCTCCTCTCCCCAATATCCTGCTGTGGCAGAAGGTCCCCCCTCACCATGGGATGGGATAGAGGTGCTCCTCTGTCACCTACATGGCCATCTGAAAAGGCACAACACAGATCATCTGAGAAAATAATCTGGGTCGTCTTGTCAGCTGTCTGGACAAACACACAAGGAGGAAAGAAGAGAACCAACATCCAGTTAATGTTTTAACTGGGCATAGGCATGCACTGGTGTGATTCACAGGCCAGAGCCCAGGCTCCTTGTTCCTGCCAAAGTGTTTCAGGGAAAAGGCTTTGGGGAGGAAATATTAGGAGCAGAGACAACTGTGGTTATGCTGAACATCTTCAAGTCTGGCAGAACAAGAGTCCTGAGTCTTTCCATGGACTTTGGACCAAGCTACAGTGGCTGAATTTCATCACCAGGTTACAAAAGTGCCTGTGACTGCCCCTGAAACTGTGTTTCACCCATTACTAGTTGGAGGTGTTCACTGCAGACTCTTGAAGCTTTTCTCAAAGAAGTATTTTGTTACCTTTCAGTTCATTCAGTTAATACAAAATGAACAGACTCACCTGCCCTGCCTCCAAATCCTATTTACAGTAGAAAACACAAATAAATGTGATTGTCTCCCATATCAGTTGGACTTTTTTTTCTTACATGGATGTTATGATTTATCCTCAATTCAAGGTGCCATTTCAGAATTAGAGCACATTTTAAAAATTTTATTGCGAATCACAAGAACTAAGGGTAGCATGTAAAGATTGTCAGAAAACAAAAACAATTGCCAGAAGAATCATAGGAAAAAATCCAATGCAAATTCCTTTCCTGGAGAGCAAGTCCTTTTAATAAAGTTTTTATTAGTGTGGAACAATTGAAAGTTATCTACAAAGCGCAGCATCCATTCTAGGGAGAATCTCCTACTAATGTCAAAACCAGGTTTCCATCAGCATGGTAAACATGAAAGGAATTAACAGAAGTCACCCTGAAAAACAGCACTGTAGTAGAAAATATTTCCTGAGCTAAAAAGAAACCAAAAAAACCCAAACAAAAAAACCCCCAGTCAAATAAATACATCCATTAATTTGATAGAACTGGAAGCAAATACACTACAAATCCCAAATCATGCAGAAAGATACAAGGCTGTGAACACTGCTGAAAATGACTGGTGGTGTTTGGTTTTTTTAGATGCTTTCCCCGTTCTTTTACATTATAAAGAATTTGCAAACCAAGGTTACTCACTCAGTTCATATTTAAGTAGCTCCCGTTAAGCCCTGAAGCTCATACCCTCTGAATAACGCTGCTATGCACTTACTTAGCCCTTTACCCCTTCAAGGGGCTTTGCAGAAATTAATTAATTAGCTCTTCCAGCAGAAACGTGCTGCAGTGGAGGGCATGGGCTTAGTGCTGCTGTTCAGCTGGATTGGGGCTCGACCACTGGGGGGCTGAGTTAACACAGGAGCCGCTGTCACATCTCTTGACACTCAAAACTGTGTTGAGCCACTCCAGCAAATACATACAGACCCTCCAAAGCTTTTCGGGGCCTCTCCTTGTCCTGATGAGATCCCCGGCTCCTGAGGAGGAGGGCACTCCAGAGCTCTGCCTGTCCCCACCTTCAATCAGGCGCTGCTTTGGGGAAGGGCTGAGCTCCTTCCCCCCAGCTCAGCAGGACACACCTTCAAAAGAAAGTTTATTTACATTCTGTGGCAAAATTGTATCTTGTGAAAATTGTCCGTGTGCAAGTGCGAAGTTGTATCACTGTCTGCACATGTGCACACATATGTACCTGGAATGGGGAGATGGGAGGAAACATCACCTTGGAAATACAACAAGACACCCAGTTGGTTGCAGGTATTATTCTGGAAAATTAGGGAGCTCATGTGTGCCATGGCCTCTTGTTTTTTTTGACAGAGCAACCCCAAAAATAGACAAGAAAGAAAAAAAGGGTTGTGATAGCAGGGGGTTTGTTAGTATTTTTATGTGCCTCATTATGGAGAAGCCAAAACTGCTTTTCCCTTTCCCAGATCCCGGCCTATGGAGTGTCACCCACCTTCTCACAGGTCCTGGCTGTTCTTCATCCTGTCAGGGCCCTGGTTTTAGTACCCACAAGTGATTATGTCCCTGGACTTCCTACACCTTTTGGTTCCTCCAGAAGAATAAGAAATGCTCATCCCTGTAATAAAAGGCAGTCTCCTAGATACATTTGAAGAGGGGAAAAAAGTAAAGAAATTAAAGAGGAGAGACAGTTTAAACCAGACAGTATTTGTAAACAAAAAACCAGTATAAAACTTTTTGCTTTAATTGGTAAAAAATTAGTTACAAAAATACAGATGCCAAAAAACAGCTTAGAGAACAACCTGAGATTTTACAAACAACCTAGGATGGTCTTGGCTCAAAGAACCAGAGACTCTGAGGTTCATGCTCTCCCCTCCTAAACCCTCGTGTTTTCCACTGCCACGGCAGCAGCTGGGCTGTGCTGAGACTGAACCAGCAAGTGCAAAAAACCACCCAAGTGTGTGTTTCCCCACTTCCTCAGGTGCTGCAATCCCAGCCCTGCAGCACCAGAAACAGGCAGCTGGTAGGAAAGGCTTCTGGTAAGCCTGGTGCCCCCATGGGCTGTCCTGCTGCCCCTGCAGCAGCAGCCCAGGCACCCACCCAGGCAAGGCCCAGAACAGCACATGGGCAGGAGGGCTGCAGATCACCCTCCCTGAAGAGCATGGATGATGACTGGCTTTGCTGCCTCATTCATGCTGACAAGGTATTTTGTGTCAGGGGGTCAGGATGTGGTGTCAGTACACGTATACACACATACTATAAAAAGGAAGTGTTGGTGCATGGCCGAGCCAGGACAAATGCTGCATTTATCCACAGAGGAGATATTTTTCTCACAAAGGTGAAACTTAGATAATTCTGTGGCCTCGAGAACTGAGAAGCTAAGAAGAAACAGGCTGTGTGGGATGTGCAGGGGTTGCAGAACGGGATGTGTAGGGGGTGGGGTGCAGGATGCTGAGCCCCAGGTCCTGATGTTTGGGGAGTTAGGCACCCATCTTGTTGTGAAAGCAAATCTTGCTGAATAAACCAAGAATTTGCTACATTATAGATCAGGCTCATTCTCAGGTGACATCTGGTAACATCTCATGCACACAGTGTGAGAATGCCCAGGGCTGCCCTCCTGAATGAAGTAACTCCTGGGATGCCACATAAGGAAAGTTCAAGTATCCCCCTGAACACTCCCTGAAAGCCCCCTGTGCCATCTTTGTGAAGTTTGGCTCTTCTTCCTCCTACCACCACTTTGGCACAGGCAAGGGGATAACCCTTATCAGTCTGTCACCAGCCACACAGCTTATCAGATTTTCTTCTTCCTATAGGACTCTTTTGCGCCATGAGCTGTATTTCAAGCTGCAGCTTTCTGGCTGCAAAGCAGCAGATAAGACTTCCTGTGGGGCTGTGGAGCTTACCAGCTGCTAACCTGCCAGGTGAGAGACACCTTGAACAATGGCAGGAGCGTCAGCTAATCCTTAACACGAAGGCTGGATGGGGGTGTGTGAAAGAAAAGCTGAGAATTACTCAGCTGGTACCAGCCTTGTAATTATTTCCTATCCCAGGAGTTCACTCCCGAAGATGGTAGAGTCAGCTGGTACCCAGGAGGTTGAGCTGGGGCCAGGGAGATTTGGTGTACTTGGTAAAGGAGGTGAGAGATGTCAACAGAATTTCCAGATGTCCAGTGCTACTTTTGGAGCTGGATTTTCTCTATGATGAAAATACTGCATGTAGCACTGTCCAGTGCCATATGTGACCTCTCTCTCTCTCTCCACCAAATGTCTTTGGAGCAGGTGAACCTTGAACTGCACTCCTACCCCTGCCTACACCATGGTGAATTGCACAGGATATTGCACATGATATTGCCTTGATAGGCCACCACTTACCATAGACATCAAACTCATCTGCCAGATCCCCTGTGCCTCTTCCCCACTCACCCAGCCACAAACCCCATCACTTCCCAGCCCTCTGCCAGAAACAGTGACCTGGTGCACACAGTGTCACCCCAGCTCCAAGGATTCCAACACAGGTCTTTGGAGCAGCCTTCCCCAGCACAGCCATAGCTCCCCTCGCTGCAAGCTCTGATGGTGCCCTTGGCCCCATGTCCCTCTGTGGGTGGCATCTGTTCATCGAGGCTGTGCCCTCAGCCCATTCTCCTTAACACAGGAAATGACTGCAAGTGCTCTTCTCCACGCCCCAAGCACAAATAAATCATCCCCTGCTTTTTTGCTCCAGCTTTTTTCCAGCTCTATCCATCCTGGCCGGGCTGCAGGACACATGGTCCCCCTGCAGACCCTGCTACAGGTGGGTCTGAGGTGGGACACGGCAGGTACAATGTCCCAAACTGAGGCCAGTCTGGAGGTGTAGCCCCAGTGCCCTCGGGCCATCCAGCAGTGAGTAATCCCCAGGAGACTGTGGCTGAGTTGCCTCTGTGCCGGGAGCCAGCCTGCCTGCCCAGGCACTGCCTGCACCCTCCAGACCCGGCACATCCAGTCACCACGCCGGCACGTCCTGCTGCTCTCACATTCCTCTCCTGCTGTAACATTTTGGTAGCAAAACACCCCTGGTGACACAGGGCTTCAGGACAGGGTTCTTGGGATTTACAGCTGTTGAGAAGCATCCAGATTTAAACATTCTGAAGGAGAGCTTTACCCCTCAGTTTTAAACCTCAACCTTGAGCCACAACTGACCTTCTGAAAAAGAGCTGGACAAAACCCTCTTTATTCAGAATGACTAAAGCCCCTGTAAAACAGCCTCTCCTCAGAGAGTGTTTGCTCACAGCAAGGCGGGTCTGGAGCCGGACCCGAGGGAGGGAATGCAAGGTGTACAGGGTGCCCTGTGGTTTCACATCAGGGCCAACCCACTCCCCATGCCGGCAGCAAGCAGCTGCCCCCACCTTACCCTGCCTGCTCCCAAACCCACGCTTTGCTCCTCACTCCACAAACCTCACGTCACTGCACGTGCTGAAAACAGAGCTGCTGTCATAAAACCAGCCCCAGCAAACCCACAGACAGCTACAAATGCTTCTTGCACAGGGCTTTCCCCTCGAGCCCTGAGCAGGGAACAGGCAGAGCTGTCCCAGCACAAGGCAGCCTTGCTGGCAGGAAAGGCTGTGCCCTGACCAGAGCCCAGAGAAAATGGACCAGGACAGAGATGAGGCAGAACAAAACTTGAAGGAATTAGAGGAATGATCTACAAAGCTCTTCAGCTGTAACAGCAAACTGGAATGAGTTACTTTCTTGTGTGAATCCTCTTGGCTCTGCTCCCTTCTCTCTGGGCTTCTCCCTTTTTTCCTATGAAGTGCTTAAGCTGAAATATTACCAGCTTTCATGGCAAAACCTTATTTTAAAATGTATTATCAGCCAGAAAGAAAGAGATTGAAAGGTTTACAGAAAATACCTTTTTCTCTCAACATTTTTGCTTACAATTAAAATAAACACTTTTTTTTTTCTACCAAGATCAGTTTCACAAGCCTCCTTCAACCGGTCCTAATAATAATAATAAAAACCCCCAGTCCTACTGATTATCTTGGCAGAACCTCTTTTTTAAAAGCTTAACCAAAGACATCCCTGCTGTCCAACAGTCACTCCTCTCTTGCTGCCTTGGCTGGTGTGTGTGGGGCAGCCCAGCCCAGCCCACCTGCCCTCCATCTCCTCTGCTGTCGCCGTGGGGCAGCCAAGACCATTCAGCACCTCGAGAACGATTGTCCTTGGCCAAAGCACTGCCTTGGATGCCCCAGAGGGAGCAGACTGGGGGCAAGGAAGAGACACCCCTGCTTGCAGCCCTGGGGACACGGTCAAATTCCCTTGTCCCGTGGCCACCGGCTGCCCCGAAGCCCTCCCTGTTGGGGCCGGGGGCCGCTGACCATTTCTCTGCTGGTTATTAGATTGTTCACGGCTCTCAGGTTTGTTTGAATAAGCCCCTTTGTTCGGCGGCGCTTTCCCACGTCCCTCCATTCGCTCAGCAGTCGCGTGGCCCGAGTCAAAGATTAGCCCTGGCCGCCAATCCCCAAAGAAAGTTTTCTTCAGAGCAAGACATCTGCGTTGGAGGGAACCTGCCAACATCTGCCACACTTTCCCCCTTTTCAAGAGCCTTTCTTTCCCTCTTAAAAAGTGCAGGAACAGATGTTAAAAGTTGTTTTCTTTCTCCGGGGTGTGAAACGTAGAAAAATAGCAAAAAAGAAAACTCTAAGCAGCACTCACCCCTTTCTCTTTCCTTTTTTTTTTTTTTTTTCTTGGAGAGCCCAGGAAAAAAAAAGGGAGGCTTTGTTTACAAAGGAGAATCCCCTTTTCAGTGAAACCTGGCAGTGGCAGTGCAAAGGGAAAGCAGGAATTTGCAGTAAGCTCCCTGTAATGCTCATTTGCATTGGCCTGTTGGGTACCTCCAATCCCCAGCACAGATGTCGGCCTTCCCCCAAGCCAGGGCAGCTCTCCCGCCCGCACTCCCCACCTCCGAAATAAAGGCTTTTGCAGTGACTGAGAGGTGTAAAATAACTGTTTACAGCACAAGCTGTTCTTCTTTTTCACTGTGGTGCTGTCTTACAAATGAACCTTGAAATGAGCTCACCCAGAGCAGATGCCCGTGGGCAAGCAAAGGGGCTCACCCTGAGTGGCTGTGGCTGGGCACCGGGGGCCACCGCACTGCTCGTGGCCTCCCCTCCCACCTGGCTGTCCCCTCGACCCAAAGCCTTGCCACCAGCTTGCATCATGGTCTCGTGGAGCATCCCACTCACCCCAGACCTCGGCAGCAGCTCACAGGATAAAGGAAGCAGAAGGGAAGGTGAAGCAGAAGCAGCAAGTGAAGGCCAAGTAGGGAAGGGAGAGCGAGGAACAAGGTCCCACCACTACAGAAACTGGAGACACCTTTCCTGGTGGCACTGGGGGCTGGCCAGACTCTGGGACCACTAAAATGGGAGGCACACACGGTGCCCTATAGCCATGCCCACCCAAGGAGGGGTGCCAACAGGCACAGGACACACTTTTAGGAATTTTTAGGTAATTCTGCATTTCCTGACACCTCTGCCATGCTCAGTTGGGCCACGAGCCAAGGTGGTCTCAGGCTTCCCCCTCCTGCCCTGACTGCCTTGGTAAGGTGCCTTTTTCTGCATAAGGTGCTGGTGGAGGGGTGTCTGGGGGCAGATGGTGGACTTCTCTTCCTTACCCACCATTTGAGCCAAACCCAGCCAGAAGCTGTGTTCCCAGGTGACATGCTTCCAGCCTGGAGCACCCTAGGAAACGACCCAACCTTCCTGTACTCCAGCCCACCCACTGCCTCCTCCATACCAAGGTGCTGGAGTCATGGATGCCTCAGCTACACCTTCTATAAATACCAGCAACAATCCACTTCCCAAGTGGGCTGGAAAAATCTTGGAAAACCAAAAGAGTCTTCACTGGTGATCAGCTGGGGCTGGCTGATGTGAGAGACTCCAACACAGGGCAGTGGCACCTCCTTTCGCTGTCTTTGCAGAGGACACACCTGAGATAATGGGCCCATCCCTGCTCCCTTTACCTGGCACAAAGGACAAGTTATTAACCTCACCCTCCCAGCCCTCCTCTCCCAGCACAACAACCACACCAGCTCATCCCAGGCCTCTGCCAAACAGTGCGCTTATAAAACCAGGTAGCTGCACCCCAGCTCTGTATCTGACTGACAAACAGCCTCTGCCTGCCAGATTCCATGTCCAGGGACATGTTTTCGTGATGAGCCCAGGCAGCAGGGTGTGCAGACATGCTGCATGTTTGCATTTACTCACAAGTAAACACACACCCACCCACGCTGTGGTTAAGCAAGGGACATGAAGTCCTCACTTTTATTACTAGGGTACATCCCACCCTTAGCTTGAGTGGAGTGGGCTCTGTAGCCACAGCACTACAGTGGGAGCTGGAAAATCCCACCAGTGAGTTGGGAGGGCTGACGGTGCCTCTGAGCCACTGTGGCCCCTTCCTCTCCACTTCAATAAGGTGACACATTTGACACCAATCCAAAGGGCTTCACCTGCAGGACTCGACAGGACACTGCCAAATCCTGCTCATTAGCAAAGCAAACATCAGAAAGCAAATGCACAGTCATGAAAAACACCTTCATACTCTCCCCCAAACCAGGCAGAAGTGAGGAAGTATAGAAGTGCATTCTCACTCCGCACCAAGACTCCTCCAAAGGCTTCTCTGCTCCCACACCAGCAGTGAACAGACAAGCCCCCTTCAGCATCGCAGGGGGGAAATCAAAGTAAAAATCCCACAGGACTAACTCACCTCTGGGTTAGTTTGCATCTGCAATAGCCTGTCAGTTTAATATTAAATCCTACACGGCAACCAAAAACTGGAAGAGTTACATATTTCCTACGTCCGCCCATGTGCGACAGAGAACTCAGGTTCCCAAGAGGTAAATAATGTTCCCATGTTTGCCCTAGAGGATTTCTGTGATGAAAACAACCAGCTGTCAACAGTTTTCAATCGATCATCGTTTCCTTGTAATAATAATCCCTGGGAGCGGGAACTCCTAGCTGAAGTACTCTATTATTAAATTAAGAGGCTGTTTCAAAGATGTGAAATGGCTGGGGTCAGGTTAGTAAGTGAAACCAGGCATCACTTCAAGGAAATAGAGGGGAAAAAGATGAGTAGAAGGCATTTTCCCAGGTGTAACTCAACTGCTTCCCGGCTATTGTTTCCCTCCCTGGGAATCTGTGCAAATTGAACGAGGAGCCGTGCAAGCTGCTCAGAGCGCGCCCATTTTCCTTCCCTTCTTCCCTAACAAAAGATCCCTCCAAAGCCCAGCGTCGGAGGCCGGACATCTGTCGCCGTTTGGGGGGGCTGGCGTGCTCATTGAAAAGAAGCAGTGACCTGTCAGCTTTGATTGATGGCCACAAACCTCCGGGCTCGACCCCTCGTGTGGGAAAAGTAGTCCCGCCAAGGACAGTTCCCTTTCACATGCTAATTCGGGGTTATAAATACAGCAGGAGGAGCGGCGGAGCAGCAAAGAGCCCAACTGGAAACGGAGCGACCCAGTGCCCGAGTGCCTCCTTCCCACCCCGTGCCTGGATTAGGATGACTGCCACAGCCACCCCGGGCAGCACCCACAAGCTCACCAGCACCAAGGAGGAGAGGAAGGTACGTGCCCTCTGCGCTGCACCAGGCATGTGAATGATGGGTGCTGGGGCTATGGGCACTGCTTCCAGGAAAGAAAAGGGGGACAGTTATTTTCCTCATATTATAAAGATGTTTTCTCTGAAATTAACCCACATGGGTGGGTTTTTTCTCCCCGCTCCCTTTCTCTGCTTCTCTCTGTTTGGGTGAACCCTGCATAAAATGAGTGGAGGTGGGAGAATTGAGGGCTGATGCTATCTAAGGGACAGGCCATGGCTGAAGATGGTACACATCCATCTTCATCTTGTTCCTGCTGAGCCCTGTGCCACCCCACACTGGCTTCACACAGGGGATGGGACTCTCTGACCTCACTGAACTGCAGCAGGGAGGGGAAGAAAAAAATACCACCTGCAATTTTCCTGCTCCTTTTCTTTGCCAGTTAAGGAAACCCCTCATTGAGCGGAAGCGAAGGGAAAGGATTAATAACTGCTTAGACCAGCTGAAGGAGACAGTTGTGGGAGCATTTCACCTGGATGTAAGTGCTCATTTTTATGCTGCTTTTTGTTCTTTTGCTGGTGGGAAATCTGAGGGGTGGGGTTGTTCTCATTTTTTGAGAAACTGGGCATGGTGCAAACCCTTCATTCCCTCTAACTGCTGCTCTCCTTCCTTATCAGCAGTCTAAACTGGAAAAAGCAGACATCCTTGAAATGACGGTGAAGCACCTCCAGAACATCCAGAGCAGCAAGATGATGGGTGAGTGCTCGTGCCGGGCAGGAGGGTGGCAGCAGGTTTGATCCCCTGCCAGACTGGCAAAAGCATCATCCAAACCAGCCGAGGCCCGGGCTGCTGCTTGGGTTCGGCTTTCTCCACTAGATGGGGAGATGGAGCTGGGCACTGGTTGATTCGGGCAAGGTGTTTTTTCCTTCCCAAGCCTATTTCTGCTTTTTGGCGTAGTTTTGCCTCTGCAGTAGGCAGCAGAGCACCAGGGCTCACACCCTGCTCACCTTCTCCCTGCAAACGAGGCATCTTCTAGGAAAGTCCAGTGGCTTCAGAGTGAGCCCCCCAGGAAACCTGGTGAAGGTTTCCCAGCAGGAACACACCAGTCAGCTTTTACCCTCTCACCAACTCCCCTTTGTCTCCTCACCAATGCAGCTGACTCCAAAGTGGGTCTGGAAGCCCAGCAGAGGTACAGCACTGGGTACATTCAGTGCATGCACGAGGTGCACAACCTCCTTCTCACCTGTGAGTGGATGGACAAGAGCCTCGGGGCGCGCCTGCTAAACCACCTGCTGAAATCCTTGCCCAGGTCTGGTGAAGATACCTGCAAAGCAGCACTGAGGTCTTCCAGCCCATCTCAACAGCCTCTCTTGACGCCAAAAGGTCCCCTGAGCCCTAAGGGGAGCAATCGGGGCACAAACCTGGCACAGGAGCGCTTCTACTCTGCAGAGAACAAGCAGGCTTCCAAAAATTCCTTCCAGGTGCCGTTGCTGTCGGTTTTCAACCAGGTTGATGCTGCGCCTCCCAGACAGGTCCTGCAGCCAAATTTTTCCCATAACAACCCTAGAATGGGATCATTAGATATGTGGAGACCATGGTAAAGTGTGTTTTCAATTTTTATCCTAACCTTAGACACTCTTACGTATGTATCTTATAGATATGTTTCTTTAAAACACTTGTGGAGCAAGTCTGTTCCTGTAGGTGTACTAAAGACCAGGGTACTTCAAGCCGAAGTAAACCTACGTGTAGCCTGCATTGTAGAAGGCTGCTATTATTTTTTATTTATTTAATACATCTAAATTATTGTATAGAACCCTCTTATGCTCTTTAGCTTATATTAATTATATAGTTTTCTTGTCTCATGTTCTAAAATAATTAACTTCCTATTAATAAAAATACAAAACAACAGACAATGGCCCTTTCTGGCATCAGTTACCTCTCAGATCTCACATAAACCGCTGAGATAACTTTGTTGGATAAAGGGGTAAACAGCTGATCTCTTCGGCTTCTTATTTTTATTATTACCCCTGTGCAGCTGTAGGAGATTCCAGTGTCAATTCCTGTAAAAATGCTGCAGTGGTTAGGAAAAAAAAAAAAAAAAGAGAGAAAGGGAGAGACTTGGTCTGGACTTTTGAGGCTGTTTAGAAATGCTCTCTGGGTTGCTCACTCTGGCTGTGTTGTTCCCAGCCACCTGGACATCCTGACATCGCTCTTAAACTACTGAGCTATGTGTTAGTATATGTATATATATGTAACTTATAGTTATATTTAGGGATTTTTTTTTTGTTTGTTTCCTTAACTAAAAGTTCTAAATAAACTCTTGGAAGATCATGACTGATACTTTTCCCAGCCTTGTCCTTTATGCTCTGAATAAACAGTACTCAAGCATCTGCTTTTGTTTTCTTCTTTCACAAATAGTTTTTCCTTAATGCAGTTGAAAGAGCTGTTTTGGGTTTTGCTCCTGATGCTTTGTAGGGAAGCAGAGTGCACCACACACACAGACAGCATTACCTGGATCACAGCAACAATTTAAAAATTATGAAAGAAGTAGGGAGCTGGTTTTATCAGCCTGGATCAATGCTTCAGCTTTTACTTATAAGTGAATCACAAAGATCCTCTAAAGGGCAGAAGGTAAAATTTCCTGCAAATTGGACCAAGAAGACTGGGACAAATCTGCTCGCTTGCTGGCAACATTTGGTCCCTGTTTTTCATCTCAAAGGCAGTTAAAAGTTCCTCGCAGTTAAAATAAAAGAGCAGGGAGCTCTTAAACAAACACCACGCATACTAATGAATGGACCCGCAGTTCAGAGGGGCTCATTATGCAGCGAGATCTATTTGATGAGGTGCCTCAGGAGTGAAAACCAGCACCTCTGGGTTTAGCATCTTTTTCTGTGAAGCTTTCCTTTTTATCCAGCCTTCTTGAAGAGCCATTAGGAGCAGTGGTATAAGGGTGGTGGGAGAAACAACTGGCCTACACATGGCTGCAAGGAGACAAGGCGGGTTTCTTCAACCATGGGGTCAGAAGTCAGGTAAAGGCATAGAATTGTACAGATCTTACCTCAACCTCAGTTTGTATCCTCGGCCTGAAAATTAGGACTTCCCCCTTTGCTGACAGGAACCTCCAGAATGATCACCAGTGTGGAAAATACACAATATCCCACTGCAAAGATCCAGAGGGTTGGGAGCTGGGGCCACCCCAAGCAAACCACTGCAGCAAAGGGCACAGAACACTCATAGGTGGAGAAAACTATCAGGCAAAGCAAACCACAAAATCCTGGAAGAGAAAAGACATTAAAGACCTTACCAGTTTATTATCACACACGTTGCTGAGTTTAGATAAAAATCCCACCCCATAAAATCCCCCACAGCTGTACTCACTAGAGGAAGCTCCATTGAACACCAGTGGGACTGACAAGAGGAGCAGCTCCCTGCCCAGGATCAAACCTGAAGTGTTCTTTTACTTCTAGATGGTGTCAATAATGCACCTCATGACACTTGTGGCCACCTTATTGTTATCCTGGGAGAGGCTGTGATGAAAATATTTTACTACAGCTTGACAGCATCAACTTAAAATCATACAATCCCTCTAAAAGCTGTAAATCTCCAGTGACTATAATTATCAGCTATGGTTACCGTGCTGAAAAGAGATCAGTGGGAAATATCTACTTCTCACCATCTCTGCTTGTTTATTTTGTGTCTGAAAATACTTTGTGGTTAGTGAGTTTTATTATTTCCTGTTTCTAATCAGTAAGGGCTTTTTTCTGTTGTGGGTGTGGAGGGAAGGGTCACATCACAGCTGGTGAGAGAGTTTTAAAAATAGAAAAGTGAGACTGCAATACTTGGCCAACAATCTCCAGTAACAGTTTTAGTACAAGACACTCATTTTTCACTGCCTTCATTTCAAACCAAGGGTGACCTTTTATATGATCTCCTTGTCACGTATCCAACTAGTGCTGCGGGAATCCATTGCAAGTCACTAGTTTTTCAGGAAAAATACAGTTTCTTCAGAAAGGCAGAGGATTACTCATAGCACTTCAAACACATGAATTTCAGCTCCTACTTACGTTTGACAAGGGAACTCCATATTTACCTCAAACCCATCCGGTTTTATCAAAACTGGGATTGTACAAGAGCAATAATATCTCGCTCTCAAGTGTGGGCACCTCTCCACTGACAACCCAAGAATTGGCAGCTGCTACCATCTTCTCCCAAAAAGATGGAATGGAGCAGCTGCTCCAGCCAGCTGGCTAGTGAGGAGTAGAGAGCACTGTCCTTGTAAGCTGGTGTTTGAAGCTGCCCCATCACACAGTTCTGGACACAGCAGCAGAACCCAGACAGATGCTATTTGCACCTGCTATTTGCAGGTGCCCATGGCTGTGTCTCTTGGCTGCCTGAGGTGCCAAGCCCAGGGATTGGTCCCCCAGAACCCAGATGAGGCACTTTCAAGGCTGCTCCACCATTCTCACCTGGGACTACAGGCCTAAGGCACAGGGGTTTGGAGGCACTGACAACAGGGATACTGCACACCCAGGTGTTTCAGGACTGAAAACGGCCAACACAAGCACCCAGACAAGATTCCTCAGCTCAGGCATGGCCAGACAGACTTGTTTGCCAGAAACAGTCACAAGATACACCACATCTCCCCCAGCATACGCAGGGCTGGGACAGCCTGGTGCAGATCTGGGCTTTGTTTGTCCCCTGCCAAAGTAGTGTTCCAGACATGTCACAGAATCACAGAATATTCTGAGTTGGAAGGGACACAAAGGATCATCAAGTCCCACACAGGGATAGAACCCACAACCTTGGGTTTGTGAATGGAGCATTAAAAGCAGAGGCCAATTGCTAAGGACACGAGGATGTGGGAAAGGCTGGATCCAAAGCTCAGGACCCTCATATGCCTTTAATACAAAGCAATTACTGATTCATATACCAACATAAGCCCAGGTGGACAAAATACCCATGTGCACAGCAGTTCCCTTTATATAAACTTCACTCCCAGACCTGCTCTCACGGAAGCCAAGGAAACACTCGGTTATTTCTCAGAAGACAGGACCAAGTCCTTTTTCATTAGGAAAGTACAGAGGTTCATGAGTAAGTAAGAGAACTTAAGGCCCTGCCATGCTGCCTTTTCCTAGGCACACACAACCCTCAGGGCCTCTGAGCATCCCTACCTTTTCCCTTATTCCTCATCCCACCCTGAGGGTCCCACAGCCACCCACAGTTACAAGGCCAAAATGCTTTAGGGATTTAGGAGTGATGCTGAGTCCCTGTGGATCATTACCTGAGAGGGCTGAGCACAGTGATTAAAAAGGGAACACAAGCTAAATTTTCAGTTAACCTCTTTGTTGGGTGCTCACTTTGGCAAAAAGGAGACTCCAGGCTGGCAGTGTGACCACTCCAGAAGCCATGCAGGGGCTCCTAATCCTCTGCACTCACAAGGAGAGACCTTGCAAAACCTCACACAAAAGCAATTCTGGGGCAAAATATTTTCAAACTGACTTGAACCACACTGCCATGGTTGTGAGTGCTTGCAGACTGCTACAAAGTATTCCTGTTGGGAGGAAAATGAAAACAAACCCACCAGCAGCAGAACACCAAAGACTTCACTTTCCCTTTAGATATGCCATTATCCCACAGCTTCCAGCATATATATTCCTGTCTTAGGAGAGACAGGCTCATATTTCATCTCACGAGGAGTAATGTTGTGTTGAGAACCTAACCCAAAGTCTGTCACATTTTTCAGAGCTTTCACATACTCATGAATAACGCAGCAGAAGCTGAACTAGCCCTGGATCTGTCCTGCACTGCTGACATATTTCATTTATAAGTCACAGCCCTGGTGAGAATGTGGCTTGCTGCCTGAGGCATCACCACAGACCCACCAGAGCCTGGGAACTCGATTTGCTCTGAGACTCTCCTATGGTTCCTGCATTAGTTGTCATAAATCCTACCACACATTTGGAATTAAAAAGCATGTTGGAGCATTTCCATTTAGTTTTCTACAGCTAACACCACCAAGCAAATGGTCTTCTTCAATCAATCCCACATCTGCTGCCACAGAGAGATTGGGTCCTCTAGAACCAACTCAAAGGGGCTCATCTTTGGGGATGGAGGACTGTCCCTTTTGCTCTGCCAAACAGCAAACACCCTTGAGGAGAGCTGGGAATGATGCCTCTTCTCCATGGTCCCTTCCTGAGGAGGCCAGGGGAACTGGCAGCGCAGAAGCCTGTGGCTTTTGGAAGGCCGCTGAGCAGGGAAAAACTTTGCTGGGGTAAGAGGAAGGATGGAGAAACCACTGCCAAGCTGGCCTTTCTTTCACTAGGAGCTTCCCAAAAGCCCCTCCTCTTTCTCCATCTGACCCTGCCCAGGCCCCCTCATCCCTGAGCATACCCACACAGCAGGAGTTGCTGTAGGACGACTTCTCACTCAAATTGGCATAGCCTGAAATTGGCACATTGGCAGCCCCAGCAACCCCTCCTCATGATCTCACCATCTCCCACTGCTCAAGCTCTTTCTTTCTACCTCCTATGGACTGAGAAGGGAGAAAAAGAGAAATAGTCATTTCCAAAGAGTTCAGAAAATCAAATGTTAGGCAGGACAGTGAAGTAAGCCAGGAGAGCCATGGCTGAGCTCCCTGAGACAGAGTACCCCTGTGTAAGAGCTGGGACTTTCCTGGGTCCCTCTGGGACTGTGGGAAGAACTGCTCAGGAGCAACCACATAACCTCAAACCTCTCTGTCGCCTGCCCTACCCTCATTAGCCTACATGGGTAATAAAGCACAAAGCAAAGCACTCTAAGATATGCACTCTTCCCACTGGAGAGGCTGTGAGAACAAGCAGTCCACATGGGATAGCAATCACCTCACCTCAGGCACTCCTCAGAAGTGCTGAGGTACCATTTTGATAGGTGTGATAGATGAACCGTCCAGCCACTGAATACAATGAAAGCAATACTGGACAGACAGGTTCTCCAAAACAGACATGTTGCTGTCAAAATCCTCTGGGAAAAGGAGACCAATGCCTCCTGGCATTTCCCATAGTTTGGCACTGCCCTCACAGCAGGAGCCCAAGGCTTTTTCCTGCCTTGTCCATAAGAATCCACGAGCAGAGAGCACTTTCCAACACAGACCCCAGAAAGAATCCATGAGCAGAGAGCACTTTCCAGCACAGACCCCAGACAGCAGAAGAAAGCCCTGAGCCTACCAGTACAGTTTATCTCAGCCATGGCCTTGAACTTGGTGTCAATAGTGCTGTGGTTCTTCAGAGCAGACACAGTCACAGCAGTGCAGTGTGGGGCAGCAGCTAAGCACAACCCCATGGGACAGCTGCTCTTGCTGTAAGCCCAACTCTCACCTCCACCTGCTCTGCACCTGAATTTTTCCAGTCTCCTGCTTGGGGGTGATGATTGTACTCACCTCAGAGATCTCCAGATGAAAAGCACCAGCAAGATGCCAGGGATTGCACAGACTAAAGAGACAAGGCAGGACTTGAAAAGCCAACATACATACATACATTCATACAACCAATCATTTCTCCACTGTCTTCCCAACTCCAGCACTTTCCTCTTCCAAGTCCATCTGTACAAACATACCTTTGCTACCACTGGAGCCTTCCCCCAGTGCCTGGCCCAGCCTCCCCACTGCTCTCAGCCTTCCCTGAGCTACAGTCATCACCAGACTTAGGCCACCCAACTGCCCTCCTACCATTCTGCCCTTGTGCTGGCAATGGTACAGTCACCCCGGGTCTGCTTCCTGACCCAAACTGCCCAGCTTACACCATGCACAGCACCAGTCCTGTCTAAACTCACTATGCCAGACGAGGGGCACGTCCCCCCCAGACCAGGCATTGCTTGTTCTCCCACAGATGACATAAAGGCAACGTGAAAGCATGAAACTGTGCTTGGAAAGATTAACTTGTGGCTGAGAGATGCCTTGTTTTTGCAGAGTGACCCTCTGTTGCTCTCATGAGGAATTTTTTCCAGCCCTGGCCCCTTATCAACTGGCTGTGAGGTGATGTCCATATCAGAGTAGCAGGCTCTGCCCCTTCCTGCTGGAAGTGGTGCCTGGCCACTCCAGGCACTAGTGATTCATTCAGGAAGTGTGTGGTTT